ACAAATAAAGATCTGAGAAGTTTTTTCAAACAGCTATGAATTTTTATAATTTTTACTGTGTAAATTTGTAAATTATTATTGATCTTGTATGACGGTTGATTCGTAATTTGTCGAGACCGGAAATCATTTTACGCAGTTTAACCCCTGACATTTTAATTCATTTTGAGTTCACGCGTATCGGGCGTGTTTGTCGGTGGGAAAATCCTAATTCAAATGATTCCTCACTGTCGATTTTTATTATTTCTGGTTTATTTGTCACATTATAAGCAATACATTATTTTTGTTTTACTTCTAGTGTTGCGTATTGTTCATTTATTTTCGTTGCATGTTTTCATTTGTCGTTCTGTACCCTGCCGCAGTTCGATCTGCGTGTTGTCAATTTTCGCGAATTTTTGTTTTTTTTGCCAGGGATCTCCTGGCAAACGCCCACCCCTTCTTTTTGGCAATTTTCCATGTTCAGGACCCTGGGCTTATACCCGGATAAATACGGTAATTTTCACATTTTAAGAAATTTATTAAGGTAAAATGCTACTTATGATCAAAATGAAAACACATTTCCTCATTAAAAACCCACTCAAAATATTGTAATTTTTTTAACACTTCGAACGTTGAAAAGTACTTTGTAAGATACTACTGTGAAATGACTAATTTTCACTGGGTTTAAATTTCGCTGATTTACCATTTCAGGCATATTCAGTGGGTTTTAAATTCACGGTTTTATCATTTTGATAATGTGTTCTATGCTCAATTTTACATATTTGCTGGGTTTTAATTTAGCGCATTTTCCAGTCAGCGAAATAAGCAAAATTAAAACCCAGTGAATAATTAACCCCTTTACAGTATACTGTTTTTTCAATGTATGTCACAGAACAAAGTTTTGAGATATGGAGATCTATCCTTGCCATAGAAAAAATGGTAAATTGCCCTAAAACAAACATGACATTTTCACTGTATTTTATTAATGGATTTTCTCTGAAATGAGTACAGTGACCCCATATTTTTTTATTTATTTTCTTTATCCTGACATGATATATCAAATATGTAAAAATAAAGGAGATGACAATATTTTTACTTTTGTGTAGCATCCTATTCTAAGTAGACATATCTATATGGAAAGTACCGGTAGCGGGAGTTATCAATGGTTAGTGTTCTCCTCAGGAATTTAAACCACTGTGGCAGACTAAATTGCATATGAATTACATATCATTTACATAATAATAGAGATTGGCAAGAGCACATTTACACCCACATAACAAACATATATTTTCAAAAACAATGTGGCACATATTTATATATATTATATTTATTCATACAGTGTTATAAACACTATTCTTTTGGGCACTTAAAGTAAAGCGATGTCGTAGCACAATGTGTTGGTATGGATTTCAGATGAAAACTGCATGATGGTTTTCGAAATAGGTGATAAGCTAATTTTTAAAAGGTGAAAGAAATCTTGAAAGAAGAGTTTTCACACGATTCGCAATGATAAAAGTTCAAATGTATTTTACCCAATCACGCAATAAACACGTTGTTTTTCTCTTGAGTAGCGTAAACTGATCGTGAACTCCGCTTTGCCCATGTTATATTGGGTGGAATTGATTTTGAAAAAAAGTTAGCTTTCAATCTAAAGACTGCGTCGATCGTCAAAGTATTTACTTACGAACAAAGAGGTGCTAATTTTACAAAATTAACTTGAATTGTTTATAGGCCACTACCACATCGTGCAACTACATCTATTGTTTACAAATTATAATCCGCGACTAGCAGGATGTGTGTCGGTCAGTACGTCGCGTCGGACAATAGTCCTGGTCGGAAGCGTGGCAAGATCCCTGATAGCTACGTATTTCTTTTTATATTTCATAATACAGTTCACAGGATGAACAATGAAAAAAGCACCATGGCGGCTCGAGACCACAGTGGCGGGCAGGGAAAGCAGCGTGGCACACAAATTGAAAGCTGGGGAGAACACTGATGGTGAAACAAAATGTGTTAGTTTGACAAATTCTGTGTTATAAGTAGCAAATATGGCACTACACATACAGTACATTTATATGACACCTCTCAACTTAAACAGCTTATAGAAGCCCTGTCCCCCCCCCCCTTCCTCCTCCAAGGAAACAAACATACCTATCTGTCACTATCACTTTTTAGATTTACAAGAAATCCACAATGAGAGAAAAAATACTCCTTATTCTAACAGACATGGTCTGCATATAACAAATTTTTAATTTATAAATTTTTAAGTCCTACTACTGATATTTTCAATTGATTTAGTATTTTTAAAAAGGGTATTTAAGAATTTTAAACATTAGGTAGTAATATGTTGTATTTTAATAATGCATGATATAATGTCGTTTGTGCATTGCATGGAGCCTCTAGTTGGTTATCCAAATAAATAAATAAAATGAATAAAAATGTTTCAATCAGCATGAATGAAAAAGACAGAAAGATCACAAATTAAATTTTTTGTAAGAGGCTTCTAGAGCAAACAACCACAATTGTGCACTGCCTTGGATAACAACATGCAAATAAGATTTTTCAATTTATTTTTATCAGCGCCATATGTCAAAAGGAATTAAGATTACTGCATTTTTAGGGGATACATACGTCAACTCAAGATGGCTTTGTAAATAGAAACCCATAGAATAGGGATCTCTTTAACTATATACATTAACTACAAAATTGGAGATGTGTGCCAAGATGCAAGGACAGAATGAGCATTAAACTGCTTCACTGAAAATATATAGGACAATCCAGCGTCAACTGGAATTCACTGGTTCATGAACAATTATTTGCATATCACGCTGAATGCTACATGTCAACAAGCAAGCGACAATTACAAACCTACAGAAAATTCTTCTAATATTTACGAAAATTAAGTGTTTATGTTTTGTACTCAATAATCGTTTCGAAACTTGTTCGAAGAAATTGCAAATTAGACGACTACACCCCCGCGAACTATATTTGTGTGTCAGTTATTGTGCGGTGAACTCTGAACTCGGGTCACGTCTAAATAAAGAAGGCTAAGATGAGAATGAATTATGTCAAAAAAATATTACAAGACAAATGTGTTACACCGAGGCGATTTTTTAGCTCGGACTTACAATCTGAGAGAAATTGGACATTAAAAGGAACAAAACAAGGATACAAATGACTCGTTTGAGGCCTTCCACGAGCGGGGAATTTCCACTGTGGGAACTGCATGCGCATTTGTGACCGACATTTGTTATTGTTTTGTGAACACATTACAAGGTTGTTGGCGGACTGCGTGAGAATCAGGCGCAGTGTAGCAAAAGAGAAAGTGTATTTTATACGCTGCAAGACCCTTTTATAAAAGGGCACACGTCCGGGTGATGCTTCAATCCGGAACAAATGAAAATCCAAAGAACATTGCCACAAATGAGTTGAACGCACATGTATTTTGCGCGCATTTCACCAAGCATAAACACCGGCACAAACACACTACAAAACGTACCGCTTTCCTGTGCGCTACCATCTTCTTTTTCTTCTTCGACAACGTCTGCAGAAAAAAAAAACATTAAAGATTAGATGCCACCACAAAACGATTAAATCTGTCCCATATCCCATCCAATTTCTCAAACATTTTTACTGCAAAAACCCACCCGTTTTCGTTTCACTTGATTCGGCCATTTTGGGTTTGTCTTGACGAAACGGGTTGTTGCGATTGGTCCAACAAGGCAGAGAGTCGAGTGCCCTCTGGAGTTCACCTGTTACACCATCAACAATCCAATAGAGCACTCGCTATGTATATTATTATGCATGCTTTTTAAGTTCCCACATTTCTGCTTTTTCCATGTCACCGTTTCCATCGAATGCGTAACTCACAACAAGTTAAACAATATGTGATCTCGAGTCTGTTACGATCACTGGTATTTATTTTACAAACATGTGGATATTTTCCGTTGAACCTGGCGACGATGGACGCCGACGAACATCGTGGATCGTTACAACCGCCCCGTGCTTTTTCTTTGCACCCATTCAACTGTTTGTAATTTGTATCATTCTCCAAACTTGTGCCGGTAAGTAAACTATTTGTATTTCTTAAACAGTAAATCTCGTAGATATTCTTATTCTATACAGGGAAGAAGACAAGGAGGTCAAATAGTTTCGCCTTTTGTTGTTTTTTCAGAACAATAGCCAACGCATTTTTGCTTTTTATTTGCTTTTTTGTATAATTTCTTTTGTTGGGGTGTTGTCTCAGTGTTCAGGTGGGTGTCCGATGACTCAATCCGCATAATACAAGTCAACACCTTTTTATTGATGCAAAATTCCCTCTATTTGATAATAAATAGTAGGACAGTTACAAATTAATGCATACGATACAACAAGGGTATAGGCGCATATTAAACTTAAAAGTGTTATTTAATATTTTAATTTTTGTATGTGTATTTTCACATTTGACAAATAAAAAAACAACACTTTAAAGTTTTTTAATATAGAATATAGATTCAAATTCTTTTTACATTGCCTTCATTAATTTAATGTTGGAGTTTAATAATTAATACCATTTTAATATAAAAATGATATCACATTTTAAACTTTGCTATGAAAAATCTATGGGAAAATGTGGTGTCACATTGGTTGGAACAGTCAAGTATCTAATCACAGTTTATCTGGAGGGACTGTGGTCTAATATACAGTACTTTTCTTTTTGCTATCCATTACATTGAAATCTTACTTTCTCTTGTTTACTATTACATTCATTATATATACATATTGCTATTAACTGATAGAAAATGTTATTTCTAAGGATCCAATAAAGATATTATTATTAATCTTAGAAGATCAACACAGGGGGTTTTTCAGTTCAACTGTTCAAGATAATTAAAGCAACTTAAAAATTTAAAGTTTAAACATATTTCAGTTTACATACAGTTCAAAAATTAAGCATAAGTTTAATTAGTATGGTAATTAAAAGGTGCTAATTGAACTACAGGTCTATCACTGTAATCAATGGTTAAAGGGGCACCTTCCAGTTAAGATTAATTTTACAACAAATTTACTTTCTGGATTAAAATAACAATGGATAACAAAAGATAGATTAACATTGTAAACAACATAAACAATAGTGTCCCATGATTCTTTGGTGCAATCCATGGGATTGAGCGGTTCCCCTTTAAGGATCTTCACCTTTTTGTGC